AATCCAGAAACGAACAATTGGTCTTGATTTATGGCTTGAATTTGGCCTTTCACCCTGTCTTCTGGCGGCTTAGCTCAGACCCTGCACTTTGCTTTGAACATCACTTCTGTGCTGTGGGTTTTTAATTCAGTTTCCCATGCACTGATAAGAAATAAGCAAGTTGGCTCTTCGGCAGTGACTCTAAGATGGTTCCACCCTAGGGACGGTTCTAGGTACAAAGCTGGAAGTCAGGGCAGACTAGGCTCATGACTAGTTTGACTGTGCCGTTGTGACCTGTTGGTAACAGCTTTCCTGTGGGCTGGCTATGGTGGTCTCCACTGGGAAGAGTCTGGCTTGTAGAACTAATTGGTTTCCTCTCCTTTTCAGAATCTGACGCTGGAGGGGGTAGAGGACCTGTCTGACGTCCTCGTGAAGCAAGAAGATTGACGTGCCACATGGGCGGAGCAGGGCGCTCTGGCTGCTCTGATAGGACAGGAGCTCTTCGTCCCACCATGAGACTAGCCATTCGTTTCAGCGAGTGGCATGACTGGGTCTCCCATCACTAGTAGCTTTCTCTCCCCTGCCAGTGACAACAATGGGATTTCTCAGAACACCGTGTGTGAATCATGGACACCTGCTTCTCCAAACCTGGGCTCTTAGGGTGACTCAGGCAGATGGGGATTGCTACTCTTGTGCTTCCATGGGAATTGGAGCCTTCTTTGAACCATCAAACTGTCTCCCTTGCCTTTTTAGAGGGTAACAATGACCCACAGATTCATGCTGCTTCTTGCCATAGCCACTGCTAGAGCAAAGAACTCTCCAGCATATCCCCACCTGTCTGTTTTAACACAGCTCTCACTTTCTGTACATAGGATCGGTTGTAATTAGTGGGTTTTTACCCCCTTAACTATATTCTCATCACTTTACACATTATTAGGATCTCTCTGAAATGATTTTACCTATTTTGTACAGAGCTTTTTTTTAAAAAAAAAATAATAAACTGCAATATTGGTTCAGATTGTGGGGGCTCTGCTTTGTTGGGGGGAGAGTGGGTTTCCCAGGGGTAGAACAAACCCTACTGCATCTCCCTCATAGTTTCAGAATTCACGGTGCTGGGAGGCAGTGAAGCAGAGGAGAGTAAAACAATGCGAAAGGTGCAGCATCGGACTGAATTCCCTCCTGAACCTCTGGAAACAGACATCTGGGTGCCTGAAGAGGTTGCATTGGCAGACTTAGCATCAGCTGCCTCTGTCCATTCTCCTAACTGGAGTAAACAACAAGTGAAGCCACCATACAGGTGTGCTGCAGAGTTCTGGGGCACATAGTCCTGGCATATGTATAGCCGTGACCTGAGCTATGACCTCGCTAGTGCTCCACTGAACTAAGGCTCTCCCCATCAGAAATGTAGTTGTGAGGTATATGTAGACCCAGTCCAATGTACTCCCGGGCTGTGCATATCCAGTCACATCTGCATACACAAGACCAGCTCCTCTGAGCAGCAGAATTCAAGGCTGCTGGGCTGAGCCCCACATGCGATCCCAGGAGAGCATGCATCTGTTCACGCTGCTGGTTGTGCAATGTCAGAACACGAGCAACACCTTCACTTCTATTGAACTAAATCAGACAGAGAAGTCTGAGCAACCCTGGCCCTCACCAGGGGGCGCTATTCTCAGTGGAGCTAGCAGTGCCCAGGGCTTTTAGACTCCTAGAGGAGCGGTGTCTGGCAGTAAGCAGGGCCTTGTCCATGACTAGTTGAACTCAGTGCAGACAGAGGAATGGGGCACTGCTAGGAGATCAGTGTACCTTTGTTGCCAAGAAGGCCAATGGCATATGGGGCTGCATTAGTAGGAGCATTGCCAGCAGATCGAGGGACGTGATCATTCCCCTCTATGCGGCACTGGTGAGGCCACATCTGGAGTAGTGTGTCCAGTTTTGGGCCAGGGTGGGGCCAGAAATGAGGGGTTCAGGGTGTGGGAGGAGGCTCTGGGCTGGGGCAGGGAGTTGGGGTGCAAGAGGGGGTGAGGGCTCTGGCTGGGGGTGCAGGCTCGGGTGAGGCAGGGGATGAGGGGTTTGCAGTGCAGGAGGGGGCTCTGGGCTGGGGAGTGGAGCTGAGATTCAGAGTGCAGGAGGGGGCTGTGGGTTGAGGCAGGGAGTTGCAGTGTGGGAGGGGGTATGGATTGGGGGTGTGGGCTTGGGTGCAGCTGGGGATGAGGGGTGTGGGGAGGCACTGGGGCAGGGGTTTGGGGTGCAGACTTACCTTGGGCGGCTCCCAGTCAATGGTGCAGCGGGGCTAAGGCAGGCTCCCTGCCTGTCCTGGCTCTGTGCTGTGCCCTGGAAGCGTCCAGCAGGTCCGGCTCCTAGGCGGGGGGTGTGCTGGTCTCACCGGTAGGCACCACCCTCCCAGCTCCCATTGGCTGCGGTTCCTGGCCGATGGGAGTGTGGAACTGGTGCTTCAAGCGGGGGCAGCTTGTGGAGCCCTGTGGCCCCCCCGCCTAGGAGCCGGACCTGCTGGCCACTTCTGGGGTGCAGCGTGGTGCCAGGACAGGTAGGGACTAGCCTGCCGTAGCCCCGCTGACCAGACTTTTAACGGCCCAGTCGGTGATGCTGACCGGAGCTGCCAGGGTCCCTTTTTGATCGAAAACTGACACCTGGCAACCCTACAATCCACTTCAATTCTCTTCCCCAACGTTGCAGTAGCTGCGGCTATGAGTAGCAACAGTCACTAGCCTTTAAGCAAGTGGAATTCAGCATGAGGACCCCCCACGCCAGCTCCAGCTGATGCAGAACGTCAGGTGCTGCATGGATTGTAACAGGACTACTGCAGATTGTGGGAGGAGCTGGGGCTTGTTCATTGGGCCTTAAACTCTTTACTTGCTTGTGTACTTTTGGAAACGTTACCCCTAGTCGTTGATCTTTCGAAGGCAGCCTAGCGAGGTCATTAGGAAAACTTACGGGCCAAGGCACGAAAGAAGGAAAATTCTTACTCTCCCCACACGTACGTCTCAGCTGCTTTAATGTCACACTTTTCTTTGGCACGTGTTGGGAGTAAAGTTTGCCTGAGTAACCCGTGTACTTTCTGTCGTCAGACGTCACTGGTGTGATGCTCTGCTCTGTCCAATGTTGATAACCGTTGGCTGCGTGTGTGTTCCCTCTGTGCGCTGCCCCGGCTCTGCAGATCGCTGGCTCAGCAGACCCCAAGAGAGCCCCCAATGACCACAGACTCCGATAAGGTACGAAGGCACCCGGCCAGGTTTATTCCCACACGAAACACAGTCTCTAGCTCCCCGGATCAGATGTCTACCGTTCTGCTAGTACATATGTGCCCCCTGACAATGGACCGGCTCAGTCAGTGGTGGGATTTACCACTGCCCCCTAGGCCAGATAAAGACAACCCCTTAGGGGTCCATTTTTATACACAGGTACAAACAAGTTACTCCTCGCTCCTGACATATTGAGGTACAACCCCTCTACGTAGCAAGGTGCCGCCTCTCACCTTGCACATGTTGGTTCAAGCAAAACAACTCTATCCACCATATTACTCTTTTGACCCTCTCTTTAGGGTGGGTCCGCCTGTTCCTCGTTATCTATGTGGAATGTGCTTGTGCTGGAGTGTTCTGGTACCATCCTGGCACGTGTTTCCATCACTTGTGCCCAGTACCTTTTAGGTATGTGTGTTTTTTGCCGCATCAGCCGTCTTCTCGCCAGATTCTGTGAGCAGGGCCTGCCTCTGGCTCACAGCTTTTTGTTTTATATCAGCAAAGTCTTGACCATTACTTTAGCTCAGGCCTTAGGCCTCATACCGGGCCTCTGATACAAGGACTTGTGTTTCAGGACCTCATCTTACTACACCTTCCTCACGAGCTGGGGGAAACACACCAGCCCCGCCTTGGAGAACCAGTGTCATTACAGCTGCTTTGCCAAGGCCCATAATCTCTCCCCTCAGACCGGTGCAAACACAGGTTTCTCCTTAAATTAGGGACAGGCAAGGTTTGGAGTTGGGGGTTGGTTTTATTCCCAATAAAAAAAGTGTTGATGGTGTTTTTGTTCAGCTCAGTGTTGATGGTGGTTTGGTTCAGCACACTAGCTCATTAAGTTAGCTCCTCAGGGGTGGTCCCTACAATTCTGCCTGTACACTCATGTGCCTAAGTGCCACTGGCCAGATTTCAGCGCACTAATAAACCCACTTGTGGTCAATGGACTGCACAGACACTCAGCACCTTGAATTAAAAATGGCGGGTGTAGTGCTCCTCTTGCTGGGCTGCTCCAAGGCCTGGCTTTGTCATCATGGGTTTCAGTAAGGCAGGGGTAGTCAACAGGCGGACCGTGGGCCAAATCCGGACCGCCAGACGCTTTGGAACAGACCCAGAAATCTTATTTACTTATCATTATCGTTGGGCTTTTTAAATTATTTTTTCTGGAATCTGGACCTTGACTAATTCTTGACCAAGACATTTGGACGTTGAGAACAAATAATGGCCTGCCCCTGCCGTAAGCTACAACAGCCCCACCCCCAGCACGGAGGGCGTGAGGAGTTCAGTCTCGCAGCTTCGGGAGCGGAATGCACTCAGCTGGGTGAGGGCTTAGGCTAGTGCTAAATCTTCCCCTCCAGCAGATCGTATTAACGGGTTGTCCCAGATCCCTACATGCTCCATGTCCAACTGTCTGAGATGCACTCGTCTTCTCCTCTGCCCACCACTACATGCCATGTGTCTCTGCTTGTCTTGACCTACTGACTGCAGAGCTCTAGGCCTGTGGATCGCCCTGGCAGTGTCTCACCGCAGAGAGCAGCCCACCCAGAACTGCTTCTGCTGCAGGGCTCCTTGGTGCTGTCACATGTGGTCTTTCTGGTTGAATGGCACCTTGATCAAACCCCCTGAATACAGGTGCAGGAGGGATTTTCTCCTGGCTGCTCGCAGGCACCGTCTCTGCTCCGGCTCTCAGGCCGAGCTGTTCTGCAGGTCATGGGGAGAAGGAGCTTAGGACCCATGCTGGCCGTCCCCACTGGGATCCCACGCGGGCTGTCAGGAAGGGAAGTGGAAGAACCGGGATATCCTGCTGCCTGGTTCGCTGCCACGGCGTAGCTCCTTCTGCTGCAGCGGGTTCAAGTGAGCCAGCTCCTCCTCAAGCATCTAGAGCAGACATGGGAACAAAGCGTTTCGGGTTATAGGCCGCGCAGTTTGGAGCCCCTGGGCAGGCCAGGGAGCTGCACCACTGGGACCCCTGCGGCTGCTGAGCAGTGAAGCCTGTTGGGCCAGTCTGACAGCGAAGGCCCTTTCCCTGCCCCAGCAGGGAGATTCTGGGTTCAAAGCAGCAGTTGGCAGATAAACGAGGGAGTCTCCACAGCCACCGGCTAAGGCCGGGCTGGGCCTAGCGCTGGGTGCCTGAAGCCGGGAGAGGAGAACACGGCTCTAAGCAGGTTTCATTCAAGGATTGGATTGTGCCGAAGCTAGTGGGAACGTGTTGTGTGTGAAGGTAGGGAGCAGGCTCGAGAGCTCTGCTGAGGTACTTTCGTGGTCCCCCCATCTCTGCAGCATCGAAGAAGCTCCCAAGCACCAGCCCCTGCCCGGCAGGTCAGGGTCTGTCCCCCCACAGTGCAGCTGGAGACGCTGCGGCACAGCAGGGGAAGGACCTTGGGTGAGGATCCACAGGGTCTGTGGCACAGAACCCATCCCCCTTTGCTGCCACCCCCGGTGAGGCGATCGCCCCGGCTCAGGCTGGAGGCGCTCGGGAGGCTCACTTCTTTGCGTGTAGTGAGCCGCTGTTTCCACTCGCTCAGCTCCAGGGTGTGTTCGTCGTCCAGCCCCTTCAGCTGCTTCTTCTCCTGTTCGACCAGCAGGCGGAGCTTCTCGGTCTGGGAGACACGCAAGGCGAGAGCAATTACACGCCACCAACTCGGGCAATGAGCGGAGACTGGCCGTGACCAGGAATGGCCCTGCCAGGGTCTGGGATCGGGACGCAGATCAAATCCAGGCCAGGCCCCGGGGCCCTTGGCACAGCCGCCAGGCCTGCAAACGCTGACAGGCAAGTGATGCCAACACCTGCAAGGGCCATTTGGATGATCCTGCTTCAGAGGCGGCTGCATGGCAGGGCTCTGCCCCACACCAGCCGTCTGGGCTGGGGGGAAGGGGGGCAGAGCCCCACACACACATGCACCCCCTGCGACCAGTGAAGGGGGACGGGAGCAGGATGGCGAGCTGCCCGGACGCTGCTCGAACTCACCTGCAACTGCTCCAGCTCACTCAGGTTCTCAGCCAGATGCTGCTGCAGGTCCTGCAGCTGCTCCTTGTGCTGCTGCTGCTGTAGCTGCACCTCTGCCCGCTGGCGCCCCTCCTCCTGCTGCAGGAACTGCGGGGAGCAGGTCGGCACCCTGCGTTACACTCAGCCGCGGCAAAGGGGTCACAGTCCCAGCCAGGGCCCCAGGGCTTGGGGAACCACTCCGAGTTCTGCCTGCCTGAGTCCTGGGGCCCTTCCTGGCAGCTTCTGTACTCCTCGCGCTGCTCAGCACAGCCCTCGGTCCCCGGGAGCAATGGGGAGAGGTCAGCCTGATTGGCAGGGCGGGCAGGCTAATGAGGGAGTCAGAAGGCCGGGAGGGGCGTCCTACGTGTGAGGTGGCAGAGTGGGCCCCAGCTAAGGAGAGAGCAGGGGCCCGAGCTGAGCTGGGGAGCAGAGCGATGCCAGCCAGAGAACCAGAGAAGCAGCCCAGAGAGCAGACCTGTGCTGGGAGCAGAGCTGCAGCACCCAAAGGGGCCAGAAAAAGCAGCCCTGGGGGCTGGAGGCAGAGCAGCAGCGGGGCTGGGGCTGGAGCCGTCCGGAGCCAGGTGCGGTGAGCAGCTGGGCAGAATGAGGGGAACCCTGGGCAGCAGGCCCAGCGCAGGGAGATGCCCCCAGCCCAGAGGCCCTGCTGGCCAGACTTGGAGGGGGATTGTAACCCTGACAGGGCGGGGGTGACTCTGGGAAGAAGGGCCCTGCACCTAGCGCCTGAGAGCGTGTGGCCACCACCAGAGCAAGTGGCCGACCCGCACCATCCCTGCAGCACAGCCAGGGCCTGGGCAGGGGCCTGGGATGTGTGGGGAACAGACTGAACTTCCCTGACATCCCAGAGACACTGGTTGTGACGTCCCCGGGCCGCAGAGCGGGGTGACGGGTTTTCCTTTCACCTTTCCCATTTTTCTTTATTTTTTAATTGGTTGCTGTTAAATAAATCGTATTTGCTTTGAACTGTATGTAATGATCAGTGGGTCAGGGAGGTGCCCAGTGCAGAGAGAGCTCCCGGAGTGGGGACACCCTAGCCCCTGTCTTAAGTGACCACGACAAGGTTGGATGTTGAGCCCCCCAGGAACCCTGGGCCCAGCCTTGTTGGGGTTACGAGAACTCTGCCACCCAGGAGATGGAAGGGGAGCCCTCGAGGTCAGGCAGGGCTCTGAGTAAAGGGAGTGGGAGCGAGGACTCAGATCCTTTCACTAGCCCCCTTCACTGGGGTCATGTGTAAGCCAGGAAAGTTCCCCCCAATAGCGGGCCCATTCCCCCGCGTACACACAGCTGGGACACGGCTGCTGCTGGCCAGATGCTGCATCCCCTGCAGGATGCCCACGGCCCGGCTGGCAGCCTCAGCGAGGCCATTCAGCGCAGAGCCGGGAGGGAAGTGGAGCTCCAGGAGCCTGCACAGCCCCGGTCCCCCATGTGCTGTGGGGTTCAGCAGCAGGCCAGCTGCTGGTGACTCCATCCCATGGACTCTCTTGTCCTTCCCTCCTAGCAGAGGGGACACACTCCAGCCACGGGGGTCACTCAGCTCTGGGCCGGGAGCTGTGCAGTGGCTCTGTCCCTGGGGCCACAGCCGAGAAGGCGTCATCCTCTCCCTGGCTCCCAGGCGTCTCCCCAGTGCCCTGGTGACGCGGGCTCTGCGCTGGCAGCAGCCTTTGGCCATGCTGGGGCCCTGCCGCCCCCTCTGGAGAAGGCGCTTGGCGGGCGTGGGGACTGCTGGGGGTCAGTACCTGCTTGGTCCTCTCCTTCTGCTCAGCGCCCGTCACCTCCTGGATCTTCAGACTCTCCTTGAACATGGCTAGGCGGAGCTTGGCGTCCCCACGCTGGGTTTTCAGCAGCTGAGCGTGCTGCTGTGCCTGCTGGTTCCTCAGCTCGTCCAGCAGGAGGAGGTGGAAGCGGCTCATCCGCTCGGTTTCCTAGCGGAGAGGCGTGCGCAGGCATCAGGGGCCGGCCACCGGGATGGGACAGGCCCAGGTGCTTAGAACGTGACCCACCGTTACCCCTTCCTCCTGCTCGCTGCCTTTGCATGGCCCCAAGCAGGGTGTAGCAGAATTCTCCCCTCCCAAGCTGGCTCCCCCTCTGCCAGGCCTGGACGGGGAGCCGCGGGCTGGAGCTGAGCTGAGAGGAGAGCTTGGCTGCTGGGCTCCCTCCTGCCCCACCACAGGACCCTTTTTCATCCCTAGCCCAGAGCCCCAGACAGGAGCCCAGCCTGGGTTAGGACCGGAGCCCTGGAGGAGGGGGAGGGCAGGGGCAGGGCAGCCGAGGGAGGAGGCTGTGTGGGGAGGGAGAGCGCTGCTCTGGGGCTGAGCATGCTGCCTGCCCAGGGCTCCTGTGCCCCACTGGCCCAGGTGGCTCTAGTCCTTCCTTGTTGATACCGGCCACCCCAGAATCCCACTGGTCCAGCCTCCGTTGGTTCCATGGCCCCAGCACGGTTCAGCTGCAGTGCTGATGGATGCCCCAAGGCCTCGCCCGGCCTCACGTTCCCGTGGAGGGGGCCGCGTTTGTGCTGCCGACCACACAGCAGCCAGCCCCGCACTCACCTTCTCGTGCCGCTTGCTGAGCTGCTGCCGCTGGAGCGAGTACTGCTCCTTCACCTGCTGCTTGAAGAGATGATACTTCTCCTGCAGGTGGCCTTGCTCCACGCTCCACACCACGGCCTCCCGGGCTGGGGAGGGCAGAGAAGTGCCCTCAGGTCCCTGGTCTCATCCCTTCTTTCGTCAGAGTCCCACCTAGCCCCCATCCCCTACTGAGCCCTCAGCAGTCCCCCGGCCCTCCCTCAGTGGCCGGCATGTCTGGTGGGTTTTGCCCTGGGCAGTGAATAGCCATACAATTCCTACATGTAGCTGACTCCCCAGAGCCGTACAGCCCTGATGCGCCTTCTCCCTCTACACCAGCGTGAAGACGAGGGTCTTTAAATACGCTACATTTGGGTGGGGAAATTGTATGCAGGGCCATGAATGTAGGGCTGGGGCAGGAGGTTGGGTACGGGAGGGAGTACGGGCTGTGGGAGGGAGTGCGGTGTGCAGGAGGGGGCTCAGGGCAGGGGGTTGGGGTGCGGTGTGCAGGAGCGGTTCGAGGTGCAGGCTCTGCCCAGCGCTGCTTACCTCGAGCAGCTCCGGGGTGGCAGCGGGGCTAAGGCAGGCTCCCTGCCTACCCTGGCCCCGTGCTGCTCCTGGAAGTGGCCAGCGTGTCTGGCAGTGGCTCCTGGGGGTGGGGTGGGGCAGGCGGCTCCACCGTGCGCTGCCCTCGCCTGTGGGTACCACTCCCGAAGCTCCCATTGGCCGCGGTTCCCTGTTCCTGGCCAATGGTAGCTGCGGGGGGGCGGGGGGGGGAGGGGCGCGGTGCCTGCAGGCGAGGGCAGCACACGGAGCCCTCTGTCCCCCTGCTCCCCAGGGGCCGCAGGGACGTGGTGCCGGCCGCTTCCGGGAGCGGCACAGGGCCAGGGCAGGCAGGAAGCCTGCCTTAGCCCCACTGCGCCATGGGGCTGGCAATCCCGCGGGCTAGATTGAAAGCCCTGATGGGCTGGATCATAGAATCATAGAATACCAGGGTTGGAGGGACCTCAGGAGGTCATCTAGTCCAACCCCCTGCTCAAAGCAGGACCAATCCCCACCTAAATCATCAACTTTGCTCACCCCTGTACTAGGAGCAAGGGAAAGATGAAGAAAAGTGCAAGTCCTCCTCTTAGTGGGGAAGGAGAGCTATTCAGTGAGGAGAGCAAGGAAGCTGAGGTGTGTAATGCCAGTTTTGTTTCAGGCTTCAGTAAAAAGGTGAAGGGTGACCAGCTACTCAATAATATGAATTACTAACAACCAGGGGGAAGGAATTCAAGCCAAAATAGGGAAAGAACAGGTTAAAGAATAGTTCGATAAGTTAGATGTACTCAAGTGGACGGGGTCTGATGAAATTTATCCTGGGGTTCTTAAGGAACTAGCTGAAGCAACCTCGGAACCCCTAGTAGTAACTCTCTTCAAGAACGCAGGGAGGACGGGGTGAGGTCCCAGAAGACTGGAGAGAGGCAAACACCGGAAAGGGGAACAAAAAGGCCCCAAGGAATTATAGACCACTCAGCCTAAATTTGAAACCTGGACAGATACTGGAACAAATTATTAAATAATCTGTCAGCACCTGGAGGATAACAGGGTTCTATGGAGGGCATGGTGTGCTTGCTGCTTGATTGAAATATACCACGTGGTCTGTTTGTTTGGGGTGGGCTGAGCCTAGCGGTCTGCTAGGCAAGGCTGAGAGCTTCTTAACGAGGCTTTGATCCCTAAGCCCTTTAGCACCTATCGACCCTTAACCAGGGGGCGGGGCTACTCAGGAAGACCAGGGCTTTAAAAAACCCGCTCCTAAGTGACCAGAGGAGCTAGTGACCAGGAGCGGCTCACAGGGGAGTTTTGCGAGTTCTCCAGGTGAAGGAGGAGCGATTACGTGACCCTTGGGGTAAGTTTGTTGTCTGTAGTGTGTATGTTTGTGTTTGTGGTGTGTTTGCTTTAGAGGGGGATTGTGTGGAGGGGCTAGATACACTTAACATTCTTTAAACTTAAAAGCAAAAACACCCCCTGATAAAAACAAAACATCAACAAAGGAACGAGCTGCAGGCATATAAAGAGAATGCAGGCAGACGTCCAGCAACAGAGTGGGGGCTACCCAGTTTATTGCACCCAATGCAGCATGTAAGATTACCTGCCCTATGGGCAGACGGCGTATGTGTGCATTCGGTGCAAGGAGCTCCTGGCCCTCACAGACCATGTATAGGCTTTGGAGACCAGAGTGGCTGAACTGGAGGAGCTAAGGGAGTCAGAGAGGTACACAGATGAGACTTTCCGGGACACAGTAGAATGGTCCCACTCCTGGTCTGACAACCTCTGTGCTGTTGAGGAGGATGAAAGTCTCAGGGAAGGAGAACATCCAACTGGAGCAGAGGGAAACAATCCCATAGTTGGGACCCTCCTCCCAGATAATGTCGTGATATCCTCTCGCACTGAGGATACCTCTCCAGGGGAGGGAACTCCAGTTATTAGGAAAAGGCAGGTGTCAGTAATGGGCAATTCGATCATTAGAAACATAGATAGCTGGGTTTGCGATGACCGGGAGACTCGCATGGTGACTTGCCTGCCTGGTGCAAAGGTTGCGGATCTCTCGAGACATCTAGACAGACGTATGTGTAGCTGGGGAGGAGCCGGTGGTCGTGGTACATGTAGGTACCAATGACATAGGGAAAGGTAGGAGAGAGGTTCTGGAGGCCCAATTTAGGCTGCTAGGTAAGAGATTGACGTCCAGGACCTCCATGGCTGCATTCTCCGAGATGCTCCCTGTTCCATGCGCAGAGCCAGTTAGGCAGAACTGCGGGGTCTCAATGCGTGGACAAGACGATGGTGTAGGGAGGAGGGGTTTAGATTTATTAGGAACTGGGGAAACTTTTGGGAAAGGGGGAGCCTATACAGGAAGGATGGGCTCCACCTAAACCAAAATGGAACCAGATTGCTGGCACTTAACACTAAAAAGGTCGTAGAGCAGTTTTTAAACTAAGGCTGGGGGAAAGCCGACAGGTGCAGAGGAGCACGTGGTTCGGACAGAGACACCCCTTAGGGGAGGATCTATTAATGGAGATTCTCTATGTCCTAGTAAGGAGGAGAGGATGGAAGATGATGAAATACAGGTAGGATCTGATGAGAAACAGTCAAATGAAAAAAGTCCCATTCAATTAGATCATGTAATGGCAGACAGCTAAAAAGTGACAAGTTTTTAAAGTACCTATATACCAGTGCTAGAAGTCTAAATAATAAGATGGGTGAACTAGAGTGCCTCGTATTAAATGAGGATATTGATGTAATAGGCACCACAGAAACTTGGTGGAATGAGGATACTCAATGGGACACAGTAATACCAGGGTACAAAATATATCAGAAGGACAGAACAGGTCATGCTGGTGGGGAAGGGGCACTATATGTGACAGAAAGTGTAGAATCAAATGAAGTAAAAAATCTTAAATGAACCAAACTTTACCATAGAATCTCTGTGGATAGTAATTCCAGGCTTGAATAAGCAGAATATAGCAGTAGGGATATATTACCAACCAGGATGGTGACAGTGACTGTGAAATGCTCAGGGAGATTAGAGAGGCTATAAAAATAAAAAATTCAATAATAATGGGGGATTTCAACTATCCCCGTACTGACTGGGTACATGTCACCTCAGGACGGGATGCAGAGATAAAGTTTCTTGACACCTAAATAACTGCTTCTTGGATTGGCTAATCCTGGAATCCACAAGAGGAGAGGCAATTCTTGATTTAGTCCTAAGTGGTCACAGGATCTAGTCCAAGAGATAAATATAGCTGAACCGCTTGGTAATAGTGACCATTATATAATTAAATTTAACATCCCTGTGGCGGGGAAAACACCACAGCAGCCCCACACTGTAGCATTTAATTTCAGAAAGGGGAACTACACAAAAATGAGGAAGTTAGTGAAATAGAAATTAAAAGGTACAGCACCAAAAGTGAAATCCCTGCAAGCTGCATGGAAACTTTTTAAAGATACCATAATAGAGGCTCAACTTAAATGAATACCCCAAATTAAAAAACATAGTAAGAGAACCAAAAAAATGCCACAATGGCTAAACAACAAAGTAAAAGAAGCAGTGAGAGGCAAAAAGACATCCTTTAAAAAGTGAAAGTTAAATCCTAGTGAGGAAAATAGAAAGGAGCATAAACTCTAGGAAATGAAGTGTAAAAATACAATTATGAAGACCAAAAAAGAATTTGAAGAACAGCTAGCCAAAGACTCAAAAAATAATAGCAAACATTTTAAAAGTACATCAGAAGCTGGAGGCCTGCTAAACAACCAGTGGGGCTACTGGACGATTGAGATGCTAAAGGATCACTCAAGGAGAAAAAGGCCGTTGCAGAGAAACTACATGAATTCTTTGCATCGGTCTTCATGGCTGAGGATGTGAGAGTGATTCCCAAACCTGAGCCATTCTTTTTAGGTGACAAATCTGAGGAACTGTCCCAGACTGAGGTGTCATTAGAGGAGGTTTTGGAACAAACTGATAAACTAAACAGTAATAAGTGACCAGGACCAAATGGTATTCACTCGAGTTCTGAAGGAACTCAAATGTGAAATTGCAGAACTAATAACTGTAGTCTGTAACCTATCATTTAAATCAGATTCTGTACTAAATGACTGGAGGATAGCTAATGTGAAGCCAATTTTTAAAAAGGGCTGCAGAGGTGATCCCAGCAATTACAGGCCGGTAAGCCTGACTTCAGTACTGGGCAAACTGGTTGAAACGATAGTGAAGAACAAAATGGTCAGACACATAGATGAACATAATTTGTTGGGAAAGAGTCAACATGATTTTAGTAAAGGGAAATCATGCCTCACCAATCTACTAGAATTCTTTGAGGGGGTCAACAAGCATGTGGACAAGGGGCATCCAGTGGATATAGTGTACTTAGATTTTCAGAAAGCCTTTGACAAGGTCCTTCACCAAAGGCTCTTAAGTAAAGTAAGCAGTCATGGATAAGAGAGAAGGTCCTCTCGTGGATTGGTAACTGGTTACAAGATAGGGAAAAAAGGGTAGGAATAAATGGTCAGTTTTCAGAATGGAGAGAGGTAAATAGTGGTGTTCCCCAGGGGTCTGAATTGGGCCCAGTCCTATTCAACATACTCATAAATGATCTGGAATAAGGGGTAAACAGTGAGGTGGCAAAATTTGCAGATGATACAAAACTACTCAAGATAGTTGAATCCCCGGTAGACTGTGAATAGCTACAAAAGGATCTCGTAAAACTGGGTGACTGGGCAACAAAATGGCAGATGAAATTCAATGTAGATAAATGCAAAGTAATGCACATTGGAAAACATAAACCCAACTATACATATAAAATGATGGGGTCTAAATTAGCTGTTAAACTCAAGAAAGATCTTGGAGTCATGGATAGTTCTCTGAAAACATCCACTCAATGTACAGTGGCAGTAAAAAAAGCAAACCGAATGTTGGGAATCTTTAAGAAAGGGATAGATAATAAAACAGAAAATATTATATTGCCTCTATATAAATCCATGGTATGCCCACATCTGGAATACTGAGTGCAGATGTGGTTGCCCCATCTCAAAAAAGATATATTGGAATTGGAAAAGTTTCAGAAAAGGGCAACAACAATTATTAGGGGTATGGAACGGCTTCAGTATGAGGAGAGATTAATAATACTGGGACTTTTCAGCTTGGAAAAGAGATGACTGGTGGGATATGACTGAGGCCTATAAAATCATAACTGATGTGAGAAAGTAAATAAGGAAGTGTTATTTACTCCTTCTCATAACACAAGAACTATGGGTCACCCAATGAAATTAATAGGCAGCAGGTTTAAAACAAACAGAAGGAAATATTTTTCCACACAACACACAGTCAACCTGTGGAACTCTTTGCCAGAGGATGTTGTGAAGGCCAAAACTATAACAGGGTTCAAAAAAGAACTAGATAAGTTCATGGAGGATAGATCCATAGGTCTAGACAGTATTTGGTCCTGCCATGAGGGCAGGGGACTAGACTCGATGACCTCTCGAGGTCCCTTCCAGTCCTAGAGTCTATGAATCTATGAATCAATGGCTATTAGCAGGGCAGGGATGGTGTCCCTAGCCTCTGTTTGCCAGAAGCTGGGAATGGGTGACAGGGGATGGATCACTTGTTTATTGCCTGTTCTGTTCATTCCCTCTGGGGCACCTGGCAGTGGCTGCTGTCGGAAGACAGGATACTGGGCTAGATGGACCTTTGGTCTGCCCCAGTATGGCCGCTCTTATGTTCTTATGTATCTAGTGGGGTCCTGCAGGAGTCAGTCCTGGGTCCGGCGCTATTCAATATCTTCATTAATGACTTGGCTAATGGAGAGGAGAGTACGCTTATAAAAATTGCAGATGACACCAAGCTGGGAGGGGTTGCTGGCATTTTGGAGGACGGGATTAGAATTCAAAATGACCTTTGACAAATTGGAGAATTGGTCTGAAATCAACAAAATGAAATTCAATACAGTCAAGGGCAAAATACACGGAGGAAGGAAAAATCAAATGCACAACTACAAAATGGGCACTAACTGGCTAGGCCATCCTAGTGCTGAAAAGGATCTTGGGGGGTTGTCGTGGATCACAAACCCAATATAGGTCAACAATGTGATGTAGCTGTGAAAAAGGCTACTATCATTCTGGGGTGTATTAACAGGAGCATCGTATGTAAGACATGGGAGGTCATTGTCCCACCCTACTTGCCATTGGTGAGGCCTCAGCTGGAGTACTGTGTACAATTTTGGGTGCTGCACTTTAGGAATAACGTGGGAAGAGGTGCGGGCCGCAGGGACGTGCTGACTGCCTCTTCCCGCAGCTCCCATTGGCCGGGAACGGCGAACTTCAGCCACTGGGAGCTGTGGGCGGCCGTGCCCACGGATGGTCAACGTAAACAAAATGTCTCACGGCCTGCCAGCGGATTACCCTGATGGGCCGCGTGCCGAAGGTTGCCGACCCCTGGTCTAGGTTTACTTGGTCCTGCCCCGACACAAGTCCTGCCAAGTCACAAGTCCTGCCTGGACTTGATGACTTCCTAAGGTCCCTTCCAGTCAGACATTTCTCTTATCTCTGCATCTCAGCCCTTATCCCTCCCAGAGCTCAGCTCTACCTCTCCTGAGGCTGTGGATCTTGCTGACGCACTCCCACTCGATCGAGGTCACTTTCTTCTTGTGCTCCTGGACGACTTTCTGCAAGGCCAGGTTGAGCTCCTCCTGCTGCTGCTGCAGAAATCTCTGCTCCTGCCAGAGGGAAACATATGGGTTTGGCCCCAGAGCAGCCAAATTCTCAAAACTATCGCAGCCCATTAGCTCATCAGCTGGCTAGTGCAGATTCCCCAGCTCAGCTGCTGTGGAGAGCTGCTGCCATGTGCCAGCTCCATCAGCTGGGACCTGTTATGGTCAGTGGCTGTGCATCTAGGCTGCCCTGCCCCCGTTTATCAGCCTGCTTATCTCGAATGCCTGTGGGTCAGTACCCATAGGGCTAGTGGGGCCATTTCTGCTCATCTGCTCTGACCGCCCGCGTCAGCAGGGCAAGGAATTTCACACAGCAATTCCTGCAGCAAACCCAACGAGGGATGGCGTTCCACACGCTCCTGGCTAGCCGGCATCTGGATGTGGACACTGACATTAGAACATTCGGCAGGAGGCCAGCTCACGTTTGCTGTTACAGGGTCTATGCAATGGAGCTCATTCCCTGAGGCTTGGGCTTTTCCATGGGCCCAAAGAAGCTGCAATCCCCCCCCTTCCGCCCTATGGAAAATCCCAGCTTTGCAGCTAAACTAGAACAGCGCATGGACCAGCACAGACCGAGGCTGGGATCTCTGCCCTCTGGGCTCCAGTCGTTATCAATCCTGCCTTCGTGCTGAAACAGCAATACAAGGACCATCATGGGACCCAGAGGTACCCACAGCATGAAAATAACCCCAGCGGTAGGCACAGGGAAAACTTGCCGCCTGAGCTGAGATGTCATAGGCTCAGTGACCAGGATTCTTATAGTCTGGGAAAGGGATCCTTGGATCCTATTGGCTAAGTGAGGGATCCTTAGATCCAGCTACATGGAAGGGGATGCATAAATGTGACTGGCTAAGTAAGAAGGATGCTTAGAATACAAGCAGCAGGATTCTTGAATGTCATCGCTTCAGAAAAAAGACCCGTAGTTCCCATTGGCTCAGGGGGGAGGGGAAGGGGAAGGTGAAGGGGAGGAGAGAAAGATCTCTAGGTCCCATTGGCTTGTTAGTATTTATTTAATTAAAAATATTAAAGAGGTCTCTATCTGTCTCCAAATCAGATTCTGGAGGGTCTGTCGCTTACCCCTAGATCCCCTTGGCTCAGGGGACAAGGATCCTGAGGTCCCATTGGCTTGGAGGAGGGGGAGGATCCCTAGTTCCCATTGGCTTAGGGGAGGGGGAAGATCGCTAGTTCCCATTGGCTTGGAGGAGGGGAGG